GGGTATTATTTTATATGTGGGGGGCAGAGAACAGTGGGGTATTATTTTATATGTGGGGGGCAGAGAACAGTGGGGTATTATTTTATATGTGGGGGGGCAGAGAACAGTGGGTTATTATTTTATATGTGGGGGCAGAGAACAGTGGTGTATTATTTTATATGTGGGGGACAGAGAACAGGGGAGAGGGTATTATTTTATATGTGGGGATGTGGAGGGCAGCAATGTTTACATTGCTTTATGTTAATATTGTTGTTGTTAATATTTATATTTGTAACTTTATTCTGCCTTTAACATTTAAAAGTGTATTTTCATAAGATAATTTAAGAGGGTGGATTTAAGGCCGAGGCAGGGTAGGGGTTAGGTGGGGCAACTGGTGGCGAGTAACTATTAAGGCCTGGCTAGTAGCTCAGGACTTTAAAATTTGAGCCCTGTGCTATTGTATTAAAAAAAGTGTTTGTATATAGTTTATACTTATTTATGTATATTTCAGCAGCCATAATTCTTTGTTACATATGCAGTTTTTCCTTCCTGCTGTGCAATAGTTTGGTGATCATGTTCAACTGCAAGTATACCAAGCAGGGCCTCTGGCTGAAAAAAATATACTTTGCTGTCTCTAATGATATAAAATGCCCACAAACTCTCAGGGGTTCATTTATAAAAGTTTGCACGGCACCAGTACCCCTAGATGACGAGTATTGGAAGTAGCGCCATGCGAATGGCATCCACCTCACTTTTATGCATTAACCCTTTAGTAACCAGACACCATGTGACTTTTGCCTAGGCTCTAGAGCTTATAAGGGAGCAGCTTTTTATTTATGCCACAAAAAAGGCAGTTTTTAGTCACAATCATTTTGTGATTTAGAAAAGCTGACATCTGGACTGTTGATGTATGCAAAGTAATATTTGTATTATTATATAGGATTTATATAGCGCCATCGGTTTGTGCAGCGCTTTACAAAATGAAATATACATTTTATTCTATCAGGTCCAAACCACTGTTTGTTTTTTTGTCTTTTAGATGTGACACCACAGAGAAACTTAGAAATACTTTGGATTACTTGAGATCTTTATTAAATGAGCCAACAAATTTTAAACTTATTTATAGATATGCTTTTGACTTTGCACGGGTAGGTAAGATTTACTGCTGATACCTGAAACTATATTTTATTTTGAACTTTACTAGATGTTATGTTACTCGCCTTAAGAATTCCAATGGCAAATATCACTGCACATTTGTAGACATTGGCTTAAAAAGAATCTCTTTCACTATTCATGTAGTGTGTGGACATGTTTTAGTTTGAAAGGGAAAAACACTACTTTAGAATCTAACTGCTGAATGGAGGGTGATAAATGAATTCCTCTAATTTGTGAGAGTAAATTCACCCACTTTTCTTTAGGTTGTGCTTTTTCCATGTGGAGATGTGGGGGGGGGGGGGGGGGGTGGAGGGGGGGGGGGGGGGATGATTAAAAAAATTCTGTCTCAACTGGTGCAGTTGCCCATAGCAACCAATCAGCTTCTATCCTTCATTTGTTTCCCCAAACAACTTAGAAAATGTAAAAGTTGATTCAAATCCTAACTTTTTCAAAATACTCCCGAGCTTTCGTCATTTATTCTTCACCTACACTTTATATTTTCCTCCTACCCCGCCCCGCTTCCTTTCATACAATTGGGATGCTAACTTGTCCTGTGTGCCTCTTGTATAGGTCGAAGGAGCAGTCTTTCAGTCAGGACCATTGTGGAGGAGTCGCTGAAATAGTATTCAGCAAGGTTTCAGAATTGCTTAGATTTTATTTACAGTTGCAAGTTAAGAATTCCTATCAAGCAATTGAATAAGCAATCTAGGTAGTATGTTCTCTAGAATAAGAGCATCATTGCTTTTTTACATGGGTCAGTCTCCTGAAAATGACATGTACAACCTGTTTCCTTACTTGCGGCGTCACTTATTTTACTTTTTTTTTTTGCAGGAAAAAGACCAGCGGAGTTTAGATATGAATACAGCAAAATGTATGTTAGGACTCTTATTAGGGAAAACCTGGCCGCTGTTTCCAGTATTTCATCAATTCCTAGAGGTATGGTTACATTTGTCATTGACCTTTTTATTTTTTTAATAAAGATTGAATAAAACCTAATTAAGGTGAACCAGACCCCAAGAACAGAAAGGTCATTTAAGTGTTGCACCTTAGCAGTCCCTGCATGTGGTGGCTGCATTAGTTGCTTCACTTTCTTTCCTTTTATTGTGACCTGGTGATCCTGCCATCAATACACTTTTTTTGTGAATACTCACCCAACGTCCTGTATGTGTGGAGGAGCAGCGTTGTTGCCCAAGGACAGGAAGTGTATTGCAACTACAGTACTCCACTCCCTCCCATGGCATTTGGGGGGTTCTGGTTGTCCACAGAGACAAATTGGAATGGGCCGATGATGCTCTTTGAAATAACACTGCACAAAGCTCAGGACACAGGACAGCACTAGATTTCTGGCAGCATCTGCACTTACCAATCGGATATAACAAAATAGTGTTATATTTAAAAAAACCAAAAGAGGTGTATATGTATAGAATATAATAATGTTCTGCATGTACCTCATTTCACCTCCATAACCATAACCATAGCCTCCTGTATTTATTTTCTTGCACAGCAGCACTTCTAGCTAGAGAGGAAGGGTCAACACTATGCGTCAATCAGGGCTCTATTACTTTGCACAGTGGTGTCTGTGAGCATGTTTGCAGTAAGGGAGAGCACATTACTGTGTGTACCAGGCTGTATTGCTTAATAACAATGTAGGATACAGAGAGATTCAGGACCTAGTTGTGCTGTCTGGCAGGGGTGCCTGCATATAAGACTGGACAGAATTAGAAGTACTTTAAGTAAAATGATTTATATAAATAATCCGTAAAGTGCATTTTCACCCCCTTTTACTAGAAATCACCTCAGAATGCAGCTCTGCCTGCTGATATTAAATCATCTTACATTCATTAAACATATTTTTCTTGTACTTACACTATCTTTTTTCCACTTCCTTGTCCTCTTGGGCATTAATGATGTAATGTGCTTAAGCGTTGCATGCTGGGAATGTTACATCAGCAGAGCTTTGCTGGGAAATCTTATCTGTAATGTCATGAGATCTCAGGGAAAGGCATTTTCCTCCCCTGAGATGATGTGCATGGTCACATGTGTAGTCACATGTGCCTGGTCACATGTCTAGTCACATGGAAGGAAGACATTGCAATTACAATACAATTCAAGACAAGATGGTAAGGAGGGCCCACAATCTGAAAGGGACGGGCAAGTGGTACCAATCTGCCCTTAGTAAAAATGGCCACTGTGAGAAGAATGGGGAGGAAAAGAAAAATAAGGTATGGAAATAATTAAGCTGGTGATTATCTAGAAGTATGTGTTTGTAGATTGTCATCAGTGAACATTTCTAAAGGTGTTTTGTTGTTATTTTAAAGATATGGGTAAAGGTTCACTTTTAGGGAAGGGAAGGGAAGTACTCATCTGTATTTACAGGAGGAAGAGAGCTCAGGTTGGACATTTCTAAAGGTGTGTTGTAATTTCAAACATATGGGTGAAGTTCATCTTTAATATTGCAGATTTATATGGAGGTTACAAAATGACCTTCCGTTAGTGTTTTTAAATGCAAGTGCTCTTGAAATTTGTGAATTGATAGGTTATTGCACATGGCCTCTGCTTCCCTGCATGACTTAACCTACCAAATGTTTGTTTGCAGCAATCAAAATATAAAGTTATAAACAAGGACCAGTGGTGCAATGTTCTAGAATTCAGCCGCACAATTAACCTTGACCTCAGCAATTATGACGAGGACGGCGCCTGTAAGTAACGCCGTCACTTTCCATTATTCTGGGTTCATTGTCCTTGATCCTTCAATAATCTCCTCTGTTTCTTCCACAGGGCCAGTATTGTTGGATGAATTTGTTGAATGGTATAAAGAAAAACAGATGGCATAACACTTTAACTATGCATAGCAGCTGAAGAGTCATTGTTAGCACACTAGCGTCAACCATTAGCCATAAATTGCTGTTTGTATGGAACCGCATGTTGCTTCTTTGCACAGTGTATCCCTCCCGCCGGGCCTCTAGGCACATTCGCTGTTTGATCGGCCGTGCTTTACGTGTAGCATTGTTCTCTTTCCAGGCTGCTCTGCATTTTGTATTGACACTACAGATTGGTGAAATTGCCAATGTCCTCACTGTGATTCTGTGTATATTGCTGTTCATTTTTTTTTGTACATGCTTGTATATAGACGCTTCTCTTAGAGAACTTCTGCTGAAATGTATTGTAAAAATGACCTGCCACTTCTAGTGACTTTTTTTCTTTTTGAGGAACAAAACTGAAAATCTAAATTTGTTGTTAGAAATGTCTGTTGACATTTGTTAGCATCTCTCGCAGTGAAATGACAAACCATCTCTGCACAAGTAAATGCATTATGACACTTTGTTATTCTCGTAGTAGAATGTGACACGGCTCCTGAAAATCTTGTTTATGTGTACAGTTTTCTTTATAGTGTCTCTGTCACCTAAGTGAATTGGAGTTGGCCATTTTGTATGCTGGACCAATATAGAAGCGAATACAGCCCATGGCACTACTAGTTCCTACCAAAATAGTAAGCAGACATTTCCTGAGTGCACAAAATAGCTGCCAGAACAGGGTATGAATAGCTGGAATATTGTATGCTAAAATCCCCTAACTATTCCTGACTGCTTCATATGGAAACCTGGAGGGGGCCCTCATGCATACCGATGATCTCATTGCTTGTTCTACTAAAGTTTGTCTCTTCAGATGAAATGGCAGTCAGTGAGACTTTAAGGCCAATTTACCCCAGATGCATTGTCATGCATTTGAATGCGTTTTCCAATGCAGCTAGTTGATCTGCATTTTAGTCCAATTAAAATAGGCCACGGCTCAGTGTGAAAAAAATTATATATGTGCTGTATAGACGCACACAATTATTTCCCAGCACACTTACCAAAAAAAACTAAGAATTTGCATTTACAGTGTACTGTAGAGTGTTCCTAACTCCAATCTATGAGAGCCTCCATTTTGGAGCACATATAACCCTATAGTTTAGACAATTGTAAATCGCTATAAAGCTCTCCTATTTGACACAGTTCTGCTCTCCCAGGACCGGAAAGTGTGTGAGCTCCATCATTAAACATTGCAGTCCCTGTCAGATTTCAGATGACCTCCGATACTCATGCTATAGTGTCAGGCAAAGCAAAAATTTTAAGAAAGGGGAAGCACATATCATTCATACAGTAAGCCAGTATAGTGATAATAATTCAGTAGTGAATATTCAGATTCTACCAAGGTCAGGACTGGTTCTCTTTTAAGCTGTGCTCTTTCTGCAAGTACATGGCATTAAAGCATCACTGTCTGCCTGGAGAGGCATCCCATAACCTGTAACCCTCCCAGGTCATCTCATTGTTTCACATACAAAATTTACATCTGATGATGTTAATATGATAGTTACAAATTCAATGTGCAAATTGTTTTTTGTTTTTTTTCTTAACTTAATAAATGTGATTATTTCTTAATCGTACATTACGGGACACAGTATAACTATTACAGCAAACTGGGTTATGCTGCTGTCTTCAAGAGTTTAGACACTGGCAAAGCTATAGGCACAGTCAAGAAAAACCCCTCCCATTCCCAGCATGCCATGTTTTTTGGTAGTGTCCTTTAGAGAACAGACATCTTGCTGCTCGAAAAGAAAAGCAAACAAATTCCTTTTTTCTCAAGATATTTTTCTAGTAGCAAGATACTTCAGTTGCAGCAGAGACACTGAAGATTATTTTTACAGCTTCCAGATAAGATACACTTCAGCTTTGCTCATGGAGTCATACCTGGACTCTGCCAAGAAGAAGAAGCAAAGTCAGCCTGTAATACCCTCTGGGTGCTTACTGAGGTACATGGTGCTGAGCCAGTCACGGGGTGCTTTACAGGTCCAGGGCACCCTCCTGGTTGAACCCTGTCTCTGAAGACTCCTTAGGGAGTATGGCAACTCGAAGGGTGAAAACTCCTGGATAGAGCTTGTCCATAGCATCCTACCTATCTGCCTGGTGGAAACTGTAGGATGAACACCGCTGCTGTAAGTTAGGGCCCGTGCCCTATTTGAGAGCCTATTGTTCTGGTCCCCTAGGGGTTAAACTGTGGAGCACAGGCTGTAGCAGGATCAAATTTGGTGCCTTTTTTTTTTGCGGACTAGCAGGACGAGGCTTGTTGTGGAGTGGTAAATCTCCAACCTGATGCTTTGTCATCAGAGGGAGCTCGGTTTCCGATCAGGATTCTGGAACTGAGGGCAATTTGGTTGTCTCTTTAATGCTGTACCTCTCGGCTGCAAGGTCACCTGGCCAGGATTCAGTTGGACAATGTAATGGCTTGCATCAACCACCATGAAGGTACCAGAAGTGACGCGGCTCAAAGAGAAGTGGGCCTAATTCTGACTTGGGCAGAACTTTACATTCTGGCCCTCACACATGTGCACATCCCAGGCAGGAAAAATTGGCATGTGGACTATCTCAGTCGTCAATGCCTGAACTCTGGAGAATGGTCTCTTCACCCAGAGGTGCCTTGACCCTGTCTTGTGCTACACAGACTGTTTTGAGGCCCAGGCATCTTTCCTTCCCAAGATGTTTTGTTTTTTTGTTATTTTTTGCCTTTGCACCTTAACCAGGGCGTTGTTCTACCATCTCTTTGTCCAGCACTTCTCCATTGCCTAGATGTGGTATGCACTGTTCAAGCTTGCTTTTAACAGTCCAACTGTGGTTGTCATTCCTAAAGGCTCCCGTAGGGGACAGCCTACTTCTCAATCTACTATAGGTAGGTGGATTCAACAGCTCACCTATCAAGCTAATGACCTTAGGGGCAAGGATCCCCCTTTCCTGGTCTAAGAGCACCCAAGTAGATAGTGCCTCATGGACTTTTCAGCATCAGGCATGTGGTTCTCAGATTTTCAAGACTACCATCTGGTTTTCTATTCACATGTTTATTACGTTTTAATGGTGAATGTTCAGGTCTCGGCTGATGCGGCTCTGTAGGCTCTTTTGAGTCACCTTTGGTAACCTGTTGGTTGTTTTTTTGTGGGCTTGTTGGTGTTTCAATTGCTGTATTGCCCACCCCTCAGTTGGGCTGCTTTTAGACTTCCCAATGTTCCTGAATACTTCTCCTGTGTCCCATAATGTGTGATTTAAGAATTGTAGTAATTGTAGTAATGAATGGCTGCACACAGGTTTACACTAGCACACATGTGAAGTGTAAATCCACACATGCATAAACCGTACGCCCCTAGACATCTGCATCAGGGGTTGTATGCATGCAGGGTTTAGGCAAGTAGCAGCCTAAACCCACATACAGCCTCCTATAGCCAATCATTATTATAGGTGGCTGTACTCAGCAGCTGTGTATCCCTGGCATGGAAATATGCCTGCAATTTACGTTATGCGGTCTCATGCGTCCATGTGCATGAGGCCTTTGTAAAACAGAATTTTTGTTTCAGTTGTGCATGGATTAGGAAAACCCCTGTGAAGGTTGTATTGCTATTTGTATCCCTGCTGGAGAATCTTACTTTCTCTGTATGTCCTGGTGACTATTGTTACAGAAAATTTAATGAATGGGGATTCCAAAATATAAATGTCACCAAAACAAGAGATTAAGGGTCATTTTTTCCCCCAATGGGACACCTGTTGTGTTGACAACTTTTTCCTTCTGTGCCGAAAATAAAAACCTTTTTGCTACAGGTACACTTTAAGTAGTTGTGAGACAGGATCCTACACTAGCTGATGATGGGGCTCTGTGAGTGGAGGACATTGCTGTTTCTGCATTGATGGGTCAGATTGGTTAGCAGGTTTCTGTATTTGTCTGGGAAACCACTATACTGTGTGTATATCACACACTTATAGTAGAGTAAAGGAACTCTTGTGCTGCAGCAGCTTTAAGGAGCTACAGGTGAAACTCGAATAATTAGAATATCGTGCAAAGTTCATTTATTTCACTAATGCAACTTAAAAGGTGAAACTAATATATGAGATACTCATTACATGCAAAGCAAGATAATTCAAGCCGTGATTTGTCATAATTGTGATGATTATGGCTTACAGCTCATGAAAACCCCAAGAACCCCAAATCCACAACCTCAAAAAAGTAGATTATTACATGCAATCAATAAAACAAGGATTGTACATAGAACAATATCGGACCTCTGAAAAGTACAAGCATGCATATGTACTCAGTACTTGGTTTGGGCCCCTTTTGCAGCACTTACTGCAATTACTTTTGCACGATATTCTAATTATTCGAGTTTCACCTGTAAATACATAACTAAGAACCCATACTCTGCTTCATCTTAATAACCGCTCAGTGAAGTCAGCAGACAGTTGTCTCACCTGAATATCGTATCCGTTCTTTCTATTTTGTGTAGGGTGCAGGTACCCCATAATAGACTGCCTCTTCTACTGACATGGTTCAGTCATTTAGGGTTTTGCATAGGCACTTGCTTTTCTACTGCTTCAAAGCCTAACTCCTCATTTTTAACAAACATCATACTTGAAGTCATAGTTTTGATATGAATCACCAGATATTCTTTTCTACCTTTTTGTGGATGGTTTCTGAGCTTCCCAGTGCATAATTCCTGCCGCCTCTGACTGTATAAAAAATGTATTTGTTCCTAGCTTTGTCCATAAACAGAACTGCTGGAATCATACATGCATTGCTGTTTGGGCATATTCAAAAGAGAGGCGCATCTCTCGCTGCACACAGTTCCTTTGACACCATAGTAATCGGACCAGGCATTCAGATCTGTCCTATCGCTTCCCTCTCCACCTCAATATCTTTCAACCACTTCCATCTGAAGTTGCCAATAGACAGACAACCAAAAACAATCCACAGGTTGGTAGACAGTCCACAGTTGGGTTGCTTGAAAGGAAACAACAGAGAACACCTTTTCCCTGTGTTTGAATAGCCCTGAGAAAGAGAAACAAACCCATGTTGCTTGCTACCCTAAGTAGAACGCTCTACAATTTAAAGATGCTAAGAATTAAACAACTTCACATTTACAAGGTACTCATACTGGACTCAGGAGATCTAATAAACATGTTACTACCCCCTTCCTGGCTTTCTATCTGGCCAATTTTAGCAGCCTGCAAAAAAAAAAAGTGTGTCATTTCTCCAGAACAGAGCCAGGTAAGAACTTGCAATAAATTCAGTGAAAACCCTTGCAATATAGACCTATTTGAAGAGATCCGGAGTATTACTATAATAGAAGTGGAATGATGTGTTCTACATCCTTCAACATAGTGAACTGTTCAGATGAATCCACTTGTTTGTCTTCCATGTTTTTCTTTTAAATATTTTGATTGACATTGGATGTCTAGCGATGGATTCTCACCCTTTAGGAAGATTCTTCTTCAAGGTTTGTAAAGCATTACTGGTCAGTCTATTCCAGTGTTTGCTAAACCAGTAACCAAGGACCACTAACAGGTCCTATTTTTCAAATCAGGACTAATGGGTTTACTTTTTTACACTGTGGTTAATCAACATAATATAGCTTTTTATAGTTCTTAAGTTCTGAAAAACATGACCCATTGGTGGATAAAATTGGACTGGATTTGGAA